ATTGTTCAGGATTAGGTAGACGCAAATATGCAGCAATCTCTGTTGGCATCTTACCAAAGGTGTTTACGCCAACGCACTGAATTGAGCATTTTCCCTTCTTATAATTAATAAAAAAGCGACGATGCGGAGTGGTAGGTGGTCGTAAACCTGCGTACTTTCTGTACAGCTTCAGAAAGTTTCCATTATTTATTTCTTCACATAAAACAAATGATCTTGAAGAATGATTTTTGGAATCGGAAATTTTCACAACTATCAGATTGCCTTTATCTTGTATATTATCGAGAGTGATATTTACAAGCTCCGCTCTGCGGAGAGCACCAGCTAAAGCAAAAATGGTACTCACTTTAATCATTAGGTATACCTCATCAGGGGCTAACATAAACCTGGATATATCTTCTTTGGTAAAAACCTGCGCCTTCTGTGCTCGAAAACCAACATTTTTTTGTTTTAGAAATGACGTTAACTTATGGAACTGGCTTATATCCAAATTTTGTTTTATTTTTACTAAACTTTTCACCACCGAATAGCGAGACCATAAAGTATGAGATTTCAAAAACTTACTTAGGTGCGAAAAATACGCCAGAAACACCTCTTCTTTGTAGGTTTTTACCCCTTCCTGTTTACACCATGTGACAAAATGGTCGTATTGTTTTTCATATCTTCCTCGTGATTTGGCAGGTAACACCTCCAAATGTGCTTCATTTGCAGCTTTTAAAATGGCTTCGGGCAGCTCTACATCCGATGAATCCATTATTTCTTTAATTTATTTTAATTCAGTTGACGCTTTAACAAACAACTTTGACGTTTTTGTAACAGTAACACGCCTTGGTTACCATATAGCAACCATATCAAGCCATACATGTCACAGCCTAGTCTGACTTTTAAAAATATACAGAAGGTATATAAAAATATCTCTATTATTCAAGTTTTCCAAAAAATTAAAATTATAACAAAAAGCAAGAAAAAAAGTAAATTTTATTAAATGGAATAGTTGGAAAATTCTAAATTACCTATTGTAACAATAGTTATAACATCCGAGGTAAAAAAACTATACAATAGGTAAGGCCAAATATTCATAATTTTACTTTCCCGCACTAGTGCGGGAAAGTGAGTAAAAATACACGGTCGTAGAAAAAATATATTCTATGATTCTATGATTTTTTTCTATAAAAACAAGAATCTTAATTGGTCTACTTCGAGGATAAACCGCATTATGGTATGGTACCTTTAATTATTGTATATATTTAATATCTACAACTTATAGAAATCATGGAAGTTGAGCATGATCTATTTGAGGCGACTTCGGCTTCGTCAGAGGATTCGTTCCAAATATAAGACGATCACCCAAGTTAGACCCCCAAGACACCCAAAAAAAAGTTGTTGCCGGATTATTTTGGAGTAAGGAATAAAATCATAAGTCAAATTTTACAAATTGAACCAAATCAAATCCAGAGTAGTTTAGCAATGGTCAAGATAATTTGCTTACCGAAAAAATACAAAGCAGCCCTCTTTTAGACGGAAGGTTCTATAAAGTTGTTGGAAAATATATAATTTATTTCATCATGTCATCTAACAAGTAACAATGTAACAAAAACGCCGAGTAAAACTCAAGATTTCAATTATTTTAATAAACCAAGTATACATGGTATATTGTATGTTATACACATACAAACATATTGGATGGCCATTTTTATTGGTCATGAAAGAGTAAAACCAAATTTGGTAGATTTCCACACTTTTATTTTAAAAATATAAAAATTTTTAAAAAACACTAACATGACATATGTTTCGAAGTACAATTTCTTTTTCAAATGTGACTATTTTAAATTCGGTATCCAATATATATACGAAATATTTAACAAAACAAAGTACTTAAGAAAAATATCAATAACATTACAAAATAACTATTTAAAGTAAATAAGGGTACTTAGGTAATTATAATATCAATCAGATAACAATAAGATAGCACATTACCGGGATTATCTCACAGAAAACTAGGAAAGAGATTTAATAAGGGTGAATTATTAATATCTAATTGATCAATTAGTAAGTTATCTGAATTTTTAAATCTATTTATTTCAAGTGTTTCTAAATGGTTTAATTTAAGGCTCTTATTTTCTATATGTAAAATTTCAAAGTTGTCTGTAAAAGAATGATTTTCAGCTAAAATATGATTGAGTAAGTAGAATTATTTTTGTTTTTTGTATAGCTATTATAATGTTCAGAATAGCGTTTTTTAAAAGTACGGCCTGTTTGACCAATATACAATTTTGGACAACTACCACAATTTAATTTATATACCCCCGATTTATTATTAGGATTAATTTTACCCTTATTGTTTTTAATATACTTCCCAAGCGTATTATTGGTTTTAAAAGCTACGTTAATATTTTGGTTTTTTACTTTCCTATCTGTATACAGATATAAGGAAAGTATAGGAATCATGATTTTTTTCGACCTCGAGTTTTCGACGGATTTTTACGTTTTGAGGTCCCCTGAATCCGTTTTGACTATTTTCGCGATGATGTCTGTGTGTGTGTGTGTGTGTGTGTGTGTGTGTGTGTGTGTGTGTGTGTCTGTGTGTGTGTCTGTGTGTGTGTGTGTGTGTGTGTGTGTGTGTGTGTGTGTGTGTCTGTATAACGCATAACTCATGAACCGATACACAGAAAAACACCAAATTTTAAACTTAAGCTTTGTTTCAGCGTCTAATGAGCTGATTAGATTTTGGGCAGAGTCGGAACATTTGGGGGGGTACTTTATAGGTGGTCATTTTTATATTTTATGGAATATATCTGTTATTTACGTTTGGAGAAGAAAATTCTTTAATTAAAAGTTACTTCTAATATTATTATCTATAATTATTGTTCTATACAAAATTTTCCTAAAATGGTCCGTATTCGAGAAATTTGACAAAATGTAAAAAAAATATTTTTTTATAAAAATTGTTCAAATAAAAGTTGTTTGTAATATAATTCTCTATAATTTTTATTCTCTACATAATTTCTCTAAAATGGACCGTATTCGAGATATTTGAGAAAATGTGTAAATTTCGAATTTTGAAGAAAACTCAAAAACGGATAAAGAAAAAAACATTAAATTTTAAACTTAAGGTTTATTTCGGCCTGACGTGAAATGATTAGATTTTGGACTAAGTCGGAACATCTGGGGGGGTACTTTATGGGAGGCCGTTTTTATATTTTATGGAATATATCTGTTATTTATGTTTGGAGAGGAAAATTGTTCAAATAAAAGTTACTTCTAATATTATTATCTGTAATTTTTGTTTTATGTAAAAATTTCCTGAAACGGCCTGTATTCGAGAAATTTGACAAAATGTGCAAAATTCTGATTTTTATTATGAAAGTTTTTGAAATAAAAGTTGTTTGCGATATCGATCTCTATAATTTTTGTTTATACATGATTTTTCTAAAATGGACCGTAATGAAAAAATTGTAGGAAATTAAAATTTTTCAGTATTTTCGTTTTCCATGAATATCTATAGAAAAATGTTTCGAGGTAGATATATGTGGACAATGTATATATTTAGTTTATCCTCTAAACATTCATATAACTAGATAGGAAAGTCATGTGTTGGACACATCAGATTTTTAAATATGATGATACCTTTTCACTAGGAGCTCCTATATATGTTAGACTCTTATATCTGCAATTTTGATCTTTAATTATGGGATAAACTTGTTGAATAGCCTGTTTAAAAAGTTTTTTCTCTAAAATGTTGTCTACTAACTTTGAATTAAAATTATTATTTACTGCGATTTGTTTAATGATATTTAATTCTTTTGTGAAGTTCTCTTTGGTAAGGGGAATATTAACTAATCTATGGATCATACTGTTGTATGCTGCCAGCTTTTGTTTGTATGGATGAGATGAACTATTATTTATTGTAATATCAGTATGTGATGGCTTATGAAGTTGTACTTCGAAACATATGTCATGTTAGTGTTTTTTAAAAATTTTTATATTTTTAAAATAAAAGTGTGAAAATCTACCAAATTTGGTTTTACTCTTTCAAGATCAAATGGATTTTCATCAAGTAAAGGCTGAAACAATAAATAATTTATTGGTCATGTCTAAACGAAATAGTAGTGTACCTCATTAATTTATACAAAGCTATATATGTTGAGTTTTAAGTTGATAACTCAAGAGGGGATCTTTAATTCAATATATACTTAAAACATGACTTAAGTAATTAGTATTTTAAAATACTGAATCTTTAAAAGTACTTTAAGTATTTTTAACATATTTTCAGTACTTAGAATTACTTCAGTATATTGAATTTTTACGGTATACACTTGCTACTTATACTTGAATTATTTGTTTTAAGTAAAATAATTAATATTTCAAGTACTTTCGTAAAATACTTATACTTAATATTGTAAGTAGATTTGGAATTTGAATTACTTAATACTGGTTACTTGAAGTAGATTTGCTAAATACTTATCACAGCTCTGTCGATGGTGTTCAGAAGCCACAACAAGAAAGCAACACTATGTTTGCACCCATCTTAAAAAAATAGAACCATGTAAAATTATTTAATACGTTATTTTGAGCTTTTTAATATTGACAGGAATTGAAATTACCTTCCATAGTAGAATATTCTGTGCATTTACAAGATATTGCCTTTTCCATTTGTTCATTTATTACTGAATAACGCTATAAACTTTTTGTGTTTTGGGGTAATTTTAGCTTTAATTTTACAAATGGTAACCGAAGATATGATAGTACACTTCCTTGGTAGACCTCAATAATATTGAGTAGTGAGTTTGTACAATAAAAAAAAGTATTTCTTTCTTAAACACAAATTTCTTTGAATACAATAATTCTAGAAAGTTTTAGAGCTTGGACAGTGTACTTACTGTTGCAAATTTCAAAGCCAATAAACTTTATATTATTTATATAAAAAATCATTAATTATTACGAAAAGTGCCTTGTCCCGTTTTTCAGTATTTAAAGTATTTAAACGACTGCAAAAATCTTACCTGTAATTGTCGTAAAACTTCATCGTGTGCTTTCTGCAATTCCAGTGCCTCTGCTAAAGTATTACCTAGTGTAGTCAGTTCTGGTGTAATTTCTAATATCTTCAAGCTAATCCAGTCTCCGCACTGAAACAAGAGAAGTGGTATGTTGAAAATGTCCGACCAGAAACTTGAGCGTAGATCGTAAATATTTTAATAGGAAAGAAATAATGTTCAATAAAAAAATCTGGGAATGTTAATAGAATCATGTCCAAGCTATATAGTAAGTATTTCTTTGGCCACATTATTTATATCACATGTAATTATGTAGGTTATAGTACTGTTTTTTCAGAACCATGTACGAGTAGTAAGTAATTTAAGAAAATTGTTTCTGCTATTAAGTACTGTCATTAAAGGTAATTTTTTGTTTTGGATTAACTGATGAGGAAGATGAGTTTAAGTAACGTTGGTTTTTAATTTATATTTTCTGGATATCTTTGTGAAATTATCTATATTTTATCTTCGTGCTATCATTATAAAGAAGGTAATAACTATAACTATATGGGCAATAGCTTATATTAAAAACAACAAAAATGTTTTCAAGAAAAATCGATGAAGTTTTTAAAAATTATTAATTAAGAATATAATTTATTTTCGTACTACCTTTATAACTGACATTTTTTACATAATGGTCAATATAAAAAGGATTGTAAAAAATATTGTAATAAAATTATGTAAAAAAATACTATAATAAATATTGTAATAGAAGTTTGTACAATAAGAGTGGATATGGACAATCCACTCGAGTTGTATAGTATATTTTTTCTATGACCCGCTAATGAAAATCTACAAATTTTAAAAAATATTTGAGATCATTAAATCAAAATAACTAATTTTAAAATAATTTATTTTAATTTTTTAAAACAAATATAAAAAAGTTTAATTTAATTAATCTCCAGCCCAGATTTGAATCCGGGCCTCTCGCATGGAAAACAAACGCTGTGTCCTCAATCATCGCCACTCTTACGATTTGTGTTTTAATACTCCTAATTAAATTAGTTTCATATAGTTTGACTAAAATTTAAAATTTGTAAATGTGGACGAAATAAAAATAAAAATGCTATTATTTATCGATTCTACGTTTTTACGTATATTTAATCTGAATATCTAAAAAAATATACCTACAATTATTTTGACACTAATATAAAATTTAAAAAATAATAGTGTCCGGAAAACAAAAAAATATAAACTGTGATTGGTGGATTTAAATTTTTTGCAGTATTCTTACTAGCTACAATGTATATGAAATATATTCGTTCAGTTAAACGCAATGACATACTTTTTGGTTTTGTAGTCTGTGCGTAAATAAGTTATTATCAATATAGGTGTAGAAAAAGTATTTTATTAATTGGTCTTAAACAAATAGAATAATGATCAATGTTAATAAAACTTAATTCGTATGTTTTTTAACCTGAATTAATACTTCCACACCACTTTAACGTTTTATCGTATAAAATACTTTATATCGCTAAAAATATTTTAGAGCTTTCTGGATTGTTAAGAATTTGTAGTAGACGTAGACACAAAAACAATTAGAGCTAGTCTGACAGTTTTTTTATCGATACAATATTTACCCTCACCTTGTGTGATGTGAAAGTATTAGAACAGTCAAAAAATGTTGCATGACTTTATATTGACAATGTCACGATCAATATTCGGCAACTGAAATGGCCAGAAAACTCCTTTTCATTATTTTCCTCCATAATCACCACAAATAAATATGAGATCAAACGTGCTTATCTGAAGTGAAGTTCGATCTTAATTATATGATGCCTCGTCGAAGTAAATAAGATATATTGACGACCCCTGTATATGCTTCGATTCGACCACATAGTGGAAAGCTGGAACTATTTGATATATTCCCTTCTCCGCCAATCTCCTCATCCCAACACTTTGCTTTAGTAATTTCATAGCATACTTGTTGCAACTTAAAGGGGACTTTAGAAATATTGGGTGGGTCTAGGACTTATTTACTTCGACGAGACATCATATAATTAAGATCGAACTTCACTTCAGGTAGGTTCGTTTGATCTTATAATTATATTTCTGCCTCGTCTCGTAAATAAGATATATTGTCGCTGTTTAAAGCATGTTGCAACAAAAATTACGATAAAACATTTTATTTATATTTAACTGATTACAAGTTAAAAAATTATATTATTCATAATTAACCCACTTTCTAGAAAACTTAAGATGTAGAGATATGTCATGTGCTCTAAGAGGAAATTTGCTCCATATCAATTACTCAAAATAAACTTCATCCATCAGCTGATGGTCTGCGTAGAGGCAACGTGATGCGGCTTCCTAATTATAATGAACAGAGGCTACCACAATTACTCCTTAGGTCTTTAATTTTTTTCTAAATACTCTACCAAGGTTGTTGCTACGCAAATACCTGGGTTTATATAAAAGAAAACGGAAAGGTTTAACATGGGATAAACTCTATTGTTAGCTGATATCTTTACTTTTTTGTTACCTTTATTTGAATTTCTTGTTTTTTTTCTGAAAATTCTGTAACTCTATGGCTATAAAATTTGAATGTGCATATATAATACCAGTAACACTGCTAATTTATTTCTAAGGTTTTGTCTCTACATTTATGTTCCACGTGTTTTTTTATTCAAGCACAGCTGGTCTTAAACCTAAAAAACGTCTAAAAATCTTTTTACCCGAAAATATTGTGCCATTTTAGGCTCAGCTATTTGCGCTATATCTTATCTGTAACAGTTTAATGAATTATATGATGAATCACTATAAAATTGTCTTGTTAAATATTCTAACATGGACTTAATAACGCAGAAAATTCCACTACAATTTTAATCTGAAGTTATATTTTTTGGCATAGTATGCGATATCCATGAGAGTTTACAGAATAATATCCCTGTCACCAGGAAAATATAAAAAGGCAACGGTTCACACTATCGCCAAATTGTATGAGCAAGAGTATTTAACTTGGGATATTATACATTTCCCATTCGGTTAACACATTATAATGATAGTAACCACAATGTTATCCTTCTCGGTACAGTATATTAATTTATTTAGAACCATATATGTAATGTTGTCATTACTAACGTCATTGAAGGTTGAGAAGTGTCACATTACACACCTCTACTTCCCGCCCTCATTTCATCTATTCTAGATGAATATATTTTATATTTAAAAAAAATAACACATTGTTTGACAAATTTTATAATACCAAACAATAAAAAACAACAATGATCTAAAATATAACAAACTACTTATTGATATTTATTATTCGCGAATTTAATATCCGGCTTTATCTGACATTTATTTATATTGGTGACAGTTGTTTACCCCGTAATCACAGTAACAATATATTTACATACTTGATTATTCTGAGAAAACCGCGCGCTTGGTAATTTGTCGTTAAATGTTATATTTTAGGTATGTTCAGAACAAAACAGAGATTTATTAACTTTGATCGAAATATGATGGTTTTAAATAAAATAGTATACAAACCTCGGTAGGAAGTGTTTCATTCCTGTCTCGAGATCATAGCTAACCTCGACGCTTCGCGTCTCGGTGATCTAACTAATCTCACGACAGGAATGAAACTCTTCCCACCTCGGTGTGTAATATACTATTATGGTTTTTCGTCTATAAAACATTTTACCCTGAACAAAACCGATAAAAGCTGTAGAAAATTTATATGATTCTGACCAATAAACCCATTGCAGAACACACTTCATCCCTTCTTGAAAGCGTCTGTAAAACTTTCAATATCAAAGAAATCTACACGAATATGATATCTACTGTCACGTAATTTATTAATCCAGCATGACAAAACATTTGCAAACTCTTTAGATATTTTCATTACTAAATTGTAATCCCCTTTTGTATTTTATGAGCTAAGAACTTTTCTCACTCTAAGATCTTTATATAAAGTAAAGAGTATTTTATTGCTGGATATAGGCAGAAAACTAGTTTCCCCTACAATTTATAAAATTCTCTAATAGTCGGTACATCTTTCTTGATCTGAAAATTATTTTATAATTTTAAGAAAACCAGTTTAAAAAGCTAATTTTTCTAGAATTCCAATAGTTTCTGAAACACTTAATACATAGTGTCTCATATGAATTGCCTATCTATGTTGACGACATAAAAAAACTCTCCTTCTTAGGACATAAATTAGTGGCTTCGTCAGGTTTGTAAATACAAATAACACTTAACTTAAAAAACAGACTCGTACAAAGAGTTCTTCTATTTGAATATTTACTTATTTTTTTTTTTGTAAGATTAATCAGTACTAAATGATGGGCATCCCCTTAAGGCCGCCTTTATCATGAAACAACATGGCCGATATTACTTTATGCATGTCTATTTTAAAATGTTCTGTTCTAATGAAACATTTTTAATTTAAGAAAAAACGGCTCGACCCGTCTAAAAAACCTTGAAAATGAATTGGCCTTCATATGGCTCTGCTTTCTGGACAGCACCCATCTTTAAACGTTTACAACAAATTTTCTATAATATTAAACTCGAAAGCCGACAATTTAGATTGTGTAGGTATAATCGTCTGTCTATGCCTCCTTATAGACGGTATAGAATAGCTACTAAGCCAAGACGAAATTTAAATTCTATCCGATGTAATAATCCGGAATGTAGCTCAATATACGTAATGTCACAATCAGATTAAAATGAAGATGTAACTCATGATTATCCGATGAAGTAGTCAAGGATGTAAACTTACTATGGATATCATAAATATATATAAAAACTATTTTCGATGTCTTAGTCGGGATGTAGCTTAATATAAACAGTGATTATATGATGTCACAATTACATTGAAATTAGGATGTAACTCATGATTATTAAATCTCATGATCGGACTGTAACTTGATGATGAATTATAGGTTGTATTTGAATATAGTCACATTATGTAACGACATTATACGCCGAAAAGCTTCAGCAGATTGTGTATCTTCATGATTATATACAATATGACGATACTTCATAATGTTAATGTTACATGTCTACTACATGAAAAGACGAATTTCATTGTAAGCCTACGACATATACATATATTATTGTCTCGTATATGTCAAAGAAAATTTGGATATCTT